ACTAGTGCTTACTGAACCACCATCCATTACCTTAAGTTGAGCCATTAAAAATATGTCTTGTTCTACTTTAGAAAGAGTTTGAAATGATTCTCTTAATTCTGCAAAATTTTCCTTAGGAATCCTGGAAGAACAACCACAACCACAGCCTTTTTCTAAAAAAATCAATTACCATTATTTTTATCACTTTTCATGTATATACACTTATCCCTATATATAATTTGATGTTCACTTTGTAGGATTTTTCATTTTTGAATCTTGAATTCTCCATTAGCACATATTAATGTAATATAACAAAAGTAAAATTTTGCTTATTATATATATTAAAGAACAATATGTTTTAGGAAAATTATTTCAAGGCTAGTTTCTTTATAGATATTATATTTGTATTACTACATGAATGAATTGAAAAAAGTTAAAATCCTATAATTAGAGTATATTAATTAAAGTTTCAAATTTTCATATTTAAAATAAAATAAAAGTAATAAATTTTTCTAAGCTAGGAGAGCACAATATTAAATACATTTGTCACTTTGCAGTGTATTAGTCATTCAACTTCTGTTTTTTCCTTTTCATTATTTTTTCCCTTTTAACACTTGAAGTAATATTATTATTATCCAAATCATCATTCAAAGTTATTTGTTCACATAAAAGTTCATTGATGATGGTGAACACTTGACAAACTTCATTCTTGAGAGTTCTTTTGCAAATACTTAAATTGTCAAATGATATGTGGTAGATAGTTTGACTTGTTGAAATTATGTCATGATCTGAGAAAGCAATGAAAAGCCAACTTGTATCCCAGCTGAATATTGTTCAATGTGAGCATTAATTTCATTTGCATTTTTCTCAAGTGCTTTTTGGCAAAGGTGAACACTGTTGTGGATTATGCTAAATATAAATTCTGATCAAGTTGCTTCATTACTGTCATTGAGCACCCAAATTACCTTGTTGTTTCTACATTTAGAGAACACAAGTAAGCAATTTGTTTCCAAATTAAAGAAAAAGAAGAGTGGCCAATACTACCTTGAGTTCAGTCATCAATTCATCCAATACATTTATTTCATTTTCATTACAATCTTTAATTTCTGCAAGTAATAATAACAGAAATATGAATAAACATCAGGGAATTATGTTAATGTCTAAATAAATATAAATGAATACCTTTTGGATTAACTTCATTTGAGGAATATCTTTGATATTATCATAATTAAGGTTGAAACAGTTTGCTGCTACACTAAAATTTTTATAGCTGGAAATCTGCTCTTATGCTGTAAAACAAATTGTTGAATGGTGAGCAATATTACATAATGAATATGCCATCATTTTTAAACTTACATGTTTTGACCTTGAATGAAAACTTTATAGTGCTTGAAATAGGAGGTGACAATCTCCAGAGATTTTCAAGAGACATGTTCAAGGTGTCTTGATCAATAACATCTGCATCATCACCAGTTAGAGTGATTGAGATGGTTTCACTTGGTAGATCTTCCATAGCTTTCTCCATTTCACACTGAATCTTTTTCTGAAGTTTAGGCCAATCTGCTTTACCATTGTGACATAGAAATTTGAAATTTCTAGTATATCTTGAAAATGTTGCATTGCACTCTAAGCCAATCAGCTCTTGAAATGAATTATATAAAAGGTTAGTTCTAACATGAACAGGATAAAGGGTAACATTATATCAAAGATAAGGAGGTGTGAATTTTACACATTCATTGTGTAATACCTGATATATCTTTTCCCTTCAATCCTTTTATTAATTGTTGGAACCAATCAAAAGAAAAGCACAAGGTTAATATTGTAAATAATATACCAAATAAATAAAAAAATGGAATGGAAAATAATTTTTTTTATATTGGTGATTCGCCTATGGATCAGTGAATGATTGACATTTTTTATAATAACTAGAATATTTATCAGCCTTCAATGTATAACCCAACATTTACATCCGAGATATTTACCTGCATCACTTTTTAATTTTTCTTTCAATGTTTCAACTCCAACTCCAATTCATCTATCCTCCTCCTCCAACTCTAAAGAGGAAGATTGTTTGTGCAGAGAATAATTGTATATAAAAATTATTTTATGTTGAATTAGTATTTACAATATTGAATACTAAAATAATATTTTATTGAAATAAACACCATCTCATTGTTATTTTCTTTGTTTTTGCTAATAAAAAAAAAGTTTATAATTAACTAGAGTGATGACAATCGCAATAACCACCAATCTTTATATATAAACTAGAGTAACGACAAGTGGCAGGCGATAACCACCACCATCCTTATTCTTAAAACACTTATCCACTTCCCCCAGCTGCTCCAGATGTATTTTCTTGTCTTCTTTTTCTTGTTGTGGATTTTGACATTATAAAAAATATTTTTAAAAAAGAAGTTTGTTATTTGATCAACACGTACACATTAATTATTTATCCTATTGGTTTTTTTTTTGGTAGGACAGACGTGAATTCAAGGTGACAAAACATGAGTGTTGTTGTTTGGTTTGGTTTGGGTCTCCTAAAGAATAGTGTTCCTAATTGAAAATCAGATTTTTTACAAATATTCGAAAATCAATTTATTCAAGGATATTTGAATATATATATTTTATTTCTTAATTATTTTGGATACTTGTAATTATTTTGGATACTTGTATTTATTTTGAATTTCAAACATTTGTTATGATAAAATATGAATGATTATCAATTGATAACAAATAGTATTAACTTATTTGTAACTTATCTTACCATATAACAAACATTTTTCAAAGATAATAAAGAATTTGTAGAAAATTTTTCCTAATACTCAATTGTATAAATCATTTTTAAAATGTCATAATATTCTTACACCTGATAAAAATTGATGATACT